CATAGTTGAGTATGTGGCTAGGTGTCTAAATTGTCAGCAAGTTAAATATGAGCACCAGAGGCCGGTGGCCTACTTCACCAGATGACTATACCGGAGTAGAAATGGGAACGCATCACTATGGACTTTGTAGTTGGGTTTCCGCGGACCTTGAGGAAGTTCGATGCAGTTTGGGTCATTGTTGACAGGTTGACCAAGTCGGCACATTTTATTCTGGTTGTGAAACGTATACTTCAGAGAGGTTGGCCCAAATTTATATTCAGGAGATAGTTCGGTTGCACGGTGTTCCAATTTCCATCATATCAGATAGAGGTCCTCAGTTTACTTCACAATTCTGGAGAGCAGTACAGAGTGAGTTGGGGACCCGTACAGAGCTCAGCACAGCCTTTCATCCGCAGACCGATGGACAGTCAGAGAGGACAATTCAGATTTTGGAGGATATGCTCAGGGCATGTGTGATTGACTTTGGAGGTCAGTGGGATCGTTTCTTGCCTTTGGCCGAGTTTGCTTATAATAACAGTTACCAATCCAGCATCGAGATGGCTCCATTTGAGGCTTTATATGGTCGGCGATGTCGTTTCGCCCATCGGGTGGTTTGAGCCCGGTGAGGCTAAGTTATATGGAACTGATTTGGTGAAGGATGCCTTGGAAAAGGTAAGGTTGATTCAAGAGCGACTTCGTACATCGCAGTCCAGACATAAGAGTTACGCAGATAAGAAAGCACGTGATTTATCATTTATGATGGGTGAAAAAGTTCTCTTGAAAGTTTCGCCGATGAAGGGAATCATGAGATTCGGGAAGAAGGGCAACTTGAGCCCAAAGTTTATAAGCCCATTTGAGGTGTTGAGACGAGTTGGGGAGGTTGCTTATGAGCTTGCATTGCCTTCCAATCTGTCAGGAGTTCATCCGGTTTTCCATGTATCTATGCTCTGGAAGTATCATGCCGACCTATCACATGTGTTAGACTTCAGCACAGTTCAGCTAGATAATAGCTTGGGTTATGAAGAGGAGCCAGTTGTCATTGTTGATAAACAGGTTCTCCAGTTGAGGAGCAAATATTCACACTTATTTAGTATTCCAGGTATTATTCTAAACCCGTTCGAGGACGAACGTTTGTTTAAGAGGTGGAGAATGTAATGACCCAACCAGTCATTTTAATTTTTAGAACCCCATTCCCTAAAATAAAACTCTCTGAATGTACTTTTAATTTTTTATGACTTGCGGGGATAATTGGTTCGGGATTTGGAAGTGTTTGGATTGAAATCGGAACACTTATTTCCTTAAGTTGGCTTTAAAAGGCCAAGTTTGACTTCGGTCAACATTTTGAGAAAACAACCCCGGAATTGGGATTTGACGGTTCCAATAGGTTTGTATGATGATTTCAGACTTGGGCGTATGTTCGAATCGGGCTTTGGATAACCCGGGAGCATTTTGGCGCTTAATAGTAAAAATCAACTATTTGAAGGTTTAAAGTTCTTTAAATTTGGTTTGGAATAGGATTTGGAGTAATTAAGGTCCGTTTTGAATTTCGAGTCTGGGAATAGCTCCGTATAGTGATTTAAGACTTGCACGCAAAATTTGGTGTCATTCCGAGTAGTATAATTATATTTCGGCGCATTTGGAGCAAGTTTGAAGAATTTGAAATTTCTAAGTTGAATCAGTTTGCTTTGAGGTGTGATTCTTAGTTTTGATGTTGTTTTACACGTTTCGAGGGTTTGAGCGAGTCCGTTTCATGATTTTAAACTTGTTGGTATGTTCGGGTGGGGTCCCGAGGGCCCCGAGTGTCAATCAGACGAGGCTCGGACCAAGTTAGAAATTGGGAGCCAAAACTGAAGCTCCCAGCTACTGTCAGAATCGAACATGGCTGGTGAACAAGATAAACGTAGTGAACCCCAACATGGGGAATTCAGTCTCGTAGATATGACCTCGTGATCCTTGAGAAATATTCAGATAGGAGTTGAGATAGTTAAAGGTACCACATGACCATGATAGTAAGATGTATAAAGTTTACTTTATGGTATTTATCTACTCTTAGAGGCTTGTAGACTTATGTCATGTATGTAAAAGATTGTATGGCCTTGTCGGCCTATGTTCAGTATACGAGTGGTCATTTTGGTCTTATAGGCCCGTACGTTTTATGTATAAGTTGGTATTACATGTTTTATTCTAGTTATCTCACGGCAACCTTTCCGTCTCATTTACCTATGGTAGCATGATACGAAAAGATACGTTAAGTTGGTACTCGGTTGAGTAAGGTACTGGGTGCCCATCGTGGCCCATCGGTTTGGGTCGTGACAGCGCCCGAGCACTGGCGCTACCCTTAGGTTTACACACCGGACTTCTTTTGTTTTCTTCTTTTCCGAGCTCGGAGAACTCGGGGCCCTCTTCCTTTTCTTCTCATCACCCTGCCTTGGAGCAGGGGACTCGAGAGGCACATCCTCATCACCAAATGGAGGCCTCATAGAAACATATTTAGGAAGACCTGCAAAAGAAAACGGAACTAATAAGAACTCAACGGCATGAGGAAAAAATCAAATATTATTAAATCAGAAAAGGAAACTTACCATAGGAACGAGCCTCCCACCGGCCCTTCGACAGATTGCGCCACGCGCGCTCGGAATAGGGTTTTTGTGACACGAGGTCCTCGACCCACTCCTTGAGTCGAGGAACTGCATTCGGCATTCGAGCAACAGCTGCACCACAAAACGTCGATAAGAAGGGAGGAAAAAGAAAAAACAATAAACGAAATCTTTAAGGCATACTTACGTTTCATATTCTATTTCTCGGGAAATGGCATGTCCTTGATCTGGATTAAATCTGAGGTCCTCACCCGAAGGAATCGGCCCAACCAGCCTTGGCCTCGATCCTCGTCTATACTCGAGAATGGGGCCTGCCTTACCGGGGAGTTGCTGCATTCGATTTTGTCACCATGGCCGTTCATGAAGTAGGGAATAGACATCCCGGCTGAGCAAGCCTATTAGACTTACTTCTACCCAAACTCATCCATGAATAAAGAGGAGATGTACTCCATTAATCAATCACTGAAAAGATTTTATTAACAACTTCCTTTTCATTTCCATTAGTAGCCTCATTCATAATTTCCAAAAAATATTACGAGTTTATAGAATTAATGAAAAACATAATTTCCAAGTACCAACATTTCTAGTTCAATTCCCAACATCAACCATAACACACAACCTATCTACTGAGCCTCTAAGTACAATAGAAGAGTAATATGGAAATGCCGGCTAATCCCCCTCGATAGAGTTGGGGACTGTACAGGCGCATGAGATGATCGAGGGTGAAGGGACACCCCTCGATTTTGTTTACGAAGAAGCGGAGGAGAATTACTATCCTCCAGAAAGATGGATGGATTTGACCAAGGGTCACCTCGTACCTCTTACAGAAGGCGATGATGACTGGGTCCAAGGGGCCCAACGTGAAGGGATAAGTGTAAACACTTAAAAAACCCTTCATGTGGGTAGTAATCGCTTCCTCAGGCATGGGCACCACCACGTGTTTATCAACCCAGTTGGAATCCTCTTTGACTTTGGAGAGGAGACTATCGATGATCGAGCATATATATCTCGAGACTGGCTCGCATCGACCCGGTACCGAGGAAGTCTTTTCAACCTTGAAATCAGCACAGATCGAGCACCCACCAGGAACAAACACTTCAGGATGAGGTTCCGCTTTTGTTTCCTCGCTGGCCGACAGTGATGAAGAGGCGATTTCTTTTTGTGGAACTGTCTTAGAAGTTTTCGCCATTTTTTTCTGAATATAGATGAAGAAGAGGAAGTTAAAAGGTTATGCTAATGTTTTGGAACGAAGACAAGCGAAGATTCTTGCAAAAACCTCAAGAAATCCAGTACAAGTGTTAGAGAATGCAAAGATTTTTTAAAGAACAAGAGTATGAGAGGTTTAAACGTAAAGTTTGAATGGATGAAGGATGGAGTATATATAGTATTCAAACGACGGTTCAAAGTCTGTAGCGGCCGACCAGCGACTGGCGAACATTTAATGCCATTAAGATGTGACTGACGAGACGTTTCATCCATTTTTGTCATTTCTGAAGCGAAGTATCGAGATCAAGATCAGCATATCATTTCTTGTCATTTACACTCCGAAAAATGAGGGGACTATCTGTATACGGCCGAAACCGGGCTCATCTATTTCATGACGGATCGGAACCAAAACGTGATGGATTGAAGATCGACCCTAGGTTCCATCGAACCAAAGAACGAAGTCATAACGTACGTCTCCAAGATCTTCGAGCTCGTGACTCCGGAATCGATCCCGATTCCGAACAAGCTCGAGAAAACATTATCGGATCCAATAACGGAAAGCCGAAGTATCCGCAACCGGTCAGATATCACGGCGGAAATCTCGGCACGTATCAACAAGAGACCGACTAATTAGCAACTCAGGAGATTTCTTACCTTTTATAGAATTGTACCTAAAGCAGGACTCCCCTACTATATAAAGGGGGTTTCATTCTTTGTAATGGATGGTAACACGCATCCTAAAAATATTATAATATTATTTTCTTTCTGCAAGCTACTGTTCTTCTGTATTTGATATTATTTGGATCATATTCAGTTCGAGTGAGGTCTATTTCTCAAGGCTATAACTGTTCAAGTCATAAGGTTTGAATTTACTTTATTATTGTTTGCTTTACTTATAGTTCAATCTATCGCTTTGTGTCAAAATTAATCCACGTATCCTTAAAACCACTTATAAATTCAATTGTTATCCGATCTTGAGGGTAAACAGAATATTAGAGTTTCATGTCGATGCTAGGCTTAAACAAAAAATCTTAAGCAGTAAAGTATTAATGTTAGTGCTTAAACCATAATCTTAAATATTTGACAGAGATCACTTCTGCAAATACAGAGGACCTTAAGTACTCATGAATATAGTTAAGAGACCATTTTGAATCTGCCTCCAAACAAAAGGGACTAGTTTTGTCATTTTGTCGAAGTTAGGTCATTGGGACTGCGAAATTTTCAATCTGGTCATCAAGCGACACTTACAAAAATCTCTAGCAGGGAAAACAAAAGGAAACCAAAGAAGAAAGGTAGCGAAAAAAAGATGCAGAAACTGATATTGATTCAATCGTTGTATCGTTCCATATGTCGCAGATCTTCAGCTTTCTCGGTTTCCGCCGCCGCAACTACCGCCGTCAACCACCACTCCCATCGACACCTTCATTTCTCATCCCCGAATTTTCCAGCTTCTCCTAAAAGCCCTTTTCACGGTACTAATAATTCCATCTTTTTACGTATTATATACTTCAATATCTGCTTAAATTCGCATTTCTTGCTCATACTCAATAAAAAGATCGTATTTTATTCTGCTCGAATACTGGTAATGTCTACGCTTTTTTAATCTTTTTTGCTGTAAGAAGTTGAATTTATAGTAGCCTTTTCGTGGTACTAGCATTTTCGTCTCTTTTTTGTATATGTAATTCAGTATCTGCTTATATTCCCCATGTTCTTCTACATACCCAATTTAAAGATCGTATTTTTATTATGCTCTAATTGGTAAAGGATATGTTTTTGAATTTTTTTTATTGTAAGAAGTTAAATTTATTGTCCAAATGGATGTTGAGTATTCATATAGCTAATCATGATTGTTTGAGATTGAGATATAGTTGTTGCTGTGGTAATAAGATGAATGTTTGATCCTTTTCTTAGTTGAAGAACTAATTGGAAAATAAAACAGCGAGTACAAAATTGTGTAATACCCCTTATTAGAAATTGGTACAGTTCGATCCAATATTTTGTTCGATAATCCCGTATAGAAAAGGAGGGTTGAGGTAGATTGATGCCCAGGTATAGACATAGTTGAACAAGGAATCATATAGTAGTAAATGCCAACTAGTTTGTGGTATTGGATACACAGTATTTATGGTAAGAAGTAAAATTCATGGTCCAAATGGAGAAGAGTGGATATGAGGATTCATATAGGCGACCCTAGCTTGTTTGAGATTAAGGGATAGTTGTTGCAGTAAGAAGTTGAATCGTTGTCTCCCTATGTGAGTTTCAGAAAATATAGTAGGTCTCAAGATCATATAGAAATAGGGTCGTGGTAGGCTGCAGAACTGCATAGAAATACTCAAATTGTGATTCATATAGTAACGTTTAGGATTGAGGCGCAATTGGTTGATTGATGATGTAGAATTAGTAGTTATATTTCGATATGATATCTGAATTGGAAGGGATTTTCTGACGAGATTATAGTGCATTGCTTATTGATTTGATTGTAATATAAATCTGAAGTTTGATTTTACTGATTATTAGCTTTTCTCTTGCTATGAGAGTTGAGACACATTAGTCATACGTTTGATTGGAAATATGAAAAAGGAATTTTAATGCTCTATCATTTCTTTGCTCTTATTTTCACTTAGATGTTTAATTCTGAATCTCAAGTTTATTTAATTTTCTTTTTTAGAGGAAAAATTTGGGGTGCGGTATGGCCCGTGAGTGAGAGAGGGGAATGTAGACAAGGGGAGCGAGGGGAGGTCCTTGCACCTAAATATGCAAGGTGTGACGTGCCAATTTTTGACTGCAACTTTGTTCCCATTCCTTTAAAGATAATTATAATAGCGCTGGTTACTTTTAGGGATTCTTCATTTCTCTTTTAGGTTTTGTGCTTCTGCTCTCTAATTTCTGATTTCAGCAGGCGTATTTTTTCCTAGTACGAATGCTAATTGAGCTAATATAATTTTGACAGTAGTTTTTGCTAGTTTATAGGACAAATGAATTTCTGAGCATGGTAGTATTCCACTGCAAAAAAACCGGCAAATGAATTTCTGACCATGACATTATCCCACAGCAAAAAGTTGGTCTTGGTGGGCTTGAGCATGGTTTTGGTAAATATTTGGCTCACTCACCCTGTGACTAGTCGGAGTATGTGAGTGCAAATAAATGTACAAGTGCTGGCTCCTTGGTTGGATTTTGGAGAACATAACTTAGAGTGAGGGTTATTACAATCTATTTAGGATTTAATTGGTAGAAAGGTCCTCGTACTATTAATTTTCCAAGGGTTTCAAAAGTGGAACTTATAATTTCTGCATCACATATCATGAAGCGGCTTATGATCATATGTGAGTAGTGCTTATAATTTCCTGGATCTTGCTCACTAAATTGAAACATAATGGATTTTGCTACACTCTAGAATTGCGGCATCCTTTGACAATAGCAATCGGAAGCACACGTTCTTTCTGTGAGGATTCAGCCCACATGCCTGACATAAAAGATCCAGAGGTCAAACGTGCTTTTAAGGACTTAATGGCTTCAAGCTGGGATGAGCTCCCAAATGCAGTTGTCGGTGATGCAGAGCATGCATTGACTAAAAATACTGATGACAAGGAAGGCCAAGAAGCCTTGATTAATGTTTTCCGTGCAGCAGAAGCAGTGGAGGACTTTACTGGGATTCTCACGTCTCTGAAAATGGAGCTTGATGATGCAATTGGCTTAAGTGGTGAGGTAAGACGAGTTTACTGAGCAATGGACATCATTCACATTTTCTTAAGTTCTTGCTCTTTAATTTTTTATATTGATGCAGAATGTTAAGCCTATGTCAAAAGAGTTTTCTGATGCATTTCACACAGTATACCACCGTTACATCACCTACTTGAGTGCTTTTGGGTCAGAGGAGGGATACTTGAAGAAGAAAGTTGAGATGGAACTGGGAACAAAGATGATACACTTGAAGATGAGATGCAGTGGCCTTGATTCTGAATGGGGAAAGGTACCGTCTAATTTTCTGCTAGTTGGTTCCCACTTATTTCAGTTTTTCTGTGAATAGGTTAGGACTTCTTCATAAGCAATATTTCTCTATTATTTCGATTAGTTTTCCTGACCATACTTTTTTCAAATGTTCCCTTCCAGATTTGTGTTGTATTTCACTAGTTTAACTATTTATGCATTTCCCTGACCAAAATCTTATTGTAAACATAATCAGATGCAGTGTTATCAAAGGCGCACTTAAAGCGCTCTTAAGCCCTAGAGCGAGGCGTAAAACATGTTGAGCGCTTCACATCGCTTAGCGGGCGCTTCAGTGTTGTCATCAAGGCTCTAAGGGATGCTTTTCCTAGGCAATACTAAACAATTGATATACACTTTATCGTAAATTTTCTTCAATCTCTTTGTCTATATATTTGGTATTTATGCTTAAAGATATTAGTTTTGGACTACACATTCATATTTGTAGTTTTTTTCCATTTGCGCCTTTCTTTATTGAAGCCCACGCTTTATTTGCGTTTAAAGCACCAACAGACCTTAAAGCTTGTTTGCACTTTTCGCCTTTGATAACACTGATCAGATGGTAGCTTTGTTATGTAAAAAAAGTCATATCATTTTGTTGTTATGCTAAATTTATCATACTAATGGAAGTAACCTATTTGGTTGTAAATCGTGATTTGTTTACTTTCTTGCGTGAAAGTAATAGACATTGATATGAGATCTCTTGAAGAATTTAGCTTTTACCATTATTTGTTTTCTCACAATGCTTTCTGGCTTTCTCACTCCAGGTGACAGTTCTTGGGACTTCGGGACTTGCTGGTTCCTATGTTGAGCAGAGAGCATAGACCTTCACTGATGGCTGAAAGTTGGGAGTGTTTCGTCTTTAAGTTATTTGTGTAACATTTTCCTGGGAAGAGAAAAAGAAATTTTTAGATAATACATGCTGCATCAGTTTGATCCATTAAACTGCACTGCTCTTTCGCAAGTTATTATGATGTGATAGCAGATTGGGGTGTTCAAACCGAACCGGAAAATCGCACCAAACCGAAAAGTCAAATCAAACCGATTAAAAAACTCGACTAGGTTTGGTTTGATATTGAGTAAAAAAAATCCGAACCAAACTGACATAAATATGTAATTTTTATATATACTTTTAAGACTAGAATTTTCTTTAAAAATGTCTAGAAATATTTGAGATCCTCTCATGAGATGTAATATTTAATAAAACTATGAAGTGCATTTATTTTTATTTACTTTAAATAATGAGTTGTATCACAAACTCCTTCCACCACTATAGCTTTAGTATCCTCTCCAGAGTAACTACTTCTGTCTAAGCTTCAGAATTCCACAAAAAATGCATTTGCAATGAGATTATTGATATCCATCCTTCCGTGAGAGATTAGAAAATGTAGATCTGTTGGTAGAAATTTCTCTACGGCACTTCCAAAAACCCTAGAGAGAGAAGATGAGTCTTTTCTCCAGATGGAGTCTTTCCTCCCACCCAATCTCTTCTTTTTGTAACCCTTCTTTTCTTCATTTATATTCGCGACCAACCCTCAAAAAACATCTCTGGCAGAAAAGGACCCACGCGCCATCGGAAGGAGTTTTTCGGCGGTCCACGCGCCGGCGCGTGACACTGTTTCCGGCCAGAATTTGGGAATATTTCTTCAGAACAGCCTCTTCTTCTCCCAAATCCGAGCCTACCCATCCAACTAAAATCAAATTCCGACCACTTTTATATTTTTCCAGTGTGAATAGTGTTTTCCAGCATCTGAGTACTGCAGAATCTGGCATCGTTCAGTACCGGAAAATACATCTTTCCTTCCTACACCCTGTTTTCACCCACTGTGATTACTGAGATACTATCCTTTCCTTTAAATTCTCTTAAACAAAAGTTATTTCTTATGGGGGAAAAGAAAATTTATTTTAACGTTGGTTTCAGATCTTTTGATATCACCCGATGGACCTCCAACAGTGATACATGGTTCGATTGGGTGGAGAGAAGTCGCAATATGATGAGACGCTAAGAAAAAAGACTATGGAATGGGTCTGTAATGTGCTCAAAGAAGCTTCTAATGACCAGAAGAATGTGGTACGGAAATGGAAGAATAAGGACAGACTAACTGAATATTTTTGTACTAGAAAGTACAATGACCATGGGAGATACATGAGTATATTGTCTTTGAAAAGAGACAACCGTGAAGTCATTATAATCCCTAAACTTGCTTTGAATGCAGGATGGAGAGACATTGCATTTAAGATAGAAAGGTTTATTAAATACTCCTCCCAACTCAATTTCACAGGGCCACCCAGACTTTCTGAAGCAAATTACCCTTATGCCAAAGCAGTACAAGAGAGTAAATAGCAATCAAACAACCTTCATGAAGCAGTTGTCAGCACTAATAAAGGAGGCATCACGATCCTGGAGACAAATGGGATGAAGGATAACAGGCTTCTGACAAGATGTATCATTGGGTACTTTGGGAAGGAAAGAACTGAGAGACCTACACTATCAGACATTCGAAGATGGGACTGTATAACGTGGAAAATAACATTTGGAGTGAACATATATGAGATCACTTAGAATCTTTTTCTATTTGAGTTCCCCAACAAAAACATGGCTGAGCAAATTCTCCAAGGAGAATGGAGGTGGAAGAAATTCAAGCTTTATCTCGAATGGTAGAACTCCATCTTTCCAACTCCATATCTGTCACAAGTACCTGGATCAGAGCCATGGGAGTCCCCCTACATCTGTGGTCACAGAACATTTTCAAAGAAATATGAGACCTTTGTGGTGGGTGGAAAGCTACGGAAGAAGAGACAGAACTCAAAAACTATCTCAAAGTGGGCAAGAATTCAAGTATCAGGAGATGGCCGGAATATACCAAACGAGGTAGTCTTTAAGAGAGAGGGGGTCAAATTTTTCATACCAATATGGGCTGAAAGAAAAACTCACTTTGAACTAGGGTCGGAGATTTCCAGGGAGATAACCGGAGATGACATAGGATCGAAGCCTCTGAAGAACCGTGGACAAAGATAACCTACGAGGTAGAAGGGGTACATGATAGCCTTTTAGCTGTAGATGGGATGGGTAAGTACCATGTGGGGTGTACTGAGTACATTGACAAAAATATGGGAAAGGCACGTGCAATGCAGGAGGATGGTTTGGGAGAAAAAACATTACTTTTTGGTCCAGCGTGCCCAGCAATGGGCCAGCTATTAAAAATACAATTGGTCCTGACTGTGCAGCCCAAGTCATCTTTAATGAATCATATCTGGAGCCCATAGAGATCACAAGGTTCGACTCTTTTTTAGAACAGACGAAAGCTGTTTTGCATTCACAACAAGAAGCCAACCAGAAGAGTCAACAGAGGTTCGTTGATGTAGTTGAAAACTTGGGGAGTTCACCACATGCGGAGATGATGATGCTAGAGGAGCCAAGAGAATAAGAACATAAAGGGTTACAAGAGATGAAGGTAGATGATGCTCTGCCATTAATCGTAACTGGGGAACATCATCTTATTTCTGAAATTGAGTGTGAGAACCAACTACATCTCAATTGTAGTGGGGAAAATTGGGAAGTCGAGTATGCTGAACCCTTTCTGGTTCAACATCATGAGTCTTTTCTGGAGAAATAGATGGATGCGACCTTATGTGTTCATTAACATTTGCTCAAACTGAGCAAAATGTTTAGGGTAGATTTTCAGGGACATGAAGAAGAAGCTTTGGAATTACTTATGCAAATAGATAGATATAGACAAACAAGAAGGATGGAGCCAACACTGGACATCAAGAAAACCAGATTCAAAGGGGCACACGAGCTGAAAGGTTTGGTTTCTTTTGATGTTAAATTCCAGAGAAACTGAAAAAGATTTAGGGGAAAAAGCCTGACACTAGTTGATCAATGAAGTTCAAACTAGTTTTATGGAATGTAATGGGACTTATGTCGCGCCCCTTTCTCTCGCGAAATCGGTCCTCGATGTTGTGACAACTCTTTTAAGGAAGGGTGTTAAAAGAGAGAGTCGCCACCTAACGGATTAAGGTGCATTAGGGCACCTATTTGCAGATAACTTTGGATTAACCAGTTGCGTTACCAAAGATCGGGTAAGGGCTCAAATTACCTTGAGGAGAATNAACTCCCTCGAGGTGGGGTGTTACTCGTATTATTCAGCGGGCACAAACTATCATCTCCTGCTACACGATTACTATCTTTAAGTTATTTACCTAAAACGCACTAGTTGATTCTAAATCGTGCCCTATGCGTGCACTACCCGTCCCATGCCTATGGTCCATGAGGCATTTGGACCTCTATCTCGGAGTGGTTCTAGACTTTAACTTAGGTTGCTCAAAAGGAGAAAAGACTAGACGACATGCAAAATAATTTGGACTTTAACGTATAAGAAATTAAGGGCTCAAGTTAGCCTCCGCACTTAAACAACAAACGCACGCAAACTGATTCATATTAACAGTTGCAGATTTTAATAAGTTTGCAGAATCCTATAGGAAGGATCTCTATGTGATTCCGGATTTCATAAGCAAGCAGTATTACAAGACTTTTCCTTTTAATACAATTTTGCAGCCTAAGTAGTTGCCTACTGATTACAAGTATAAAAGATTAAAATCTATAGTCATAATGCCTAAGTGATTCTCGCAGCAACTGACAAGGACAATCACAAGAATATGTTCAGAACTGCTTAATCGAGTCCTATAGACATGGTATCTAATAGTGATGATTAGCACAGTGTTGAAGAAACGAGCAAGACTGTAATTAAGACTGATTCAGACCCGATAGACATGATTTCTATAATTAAAACTAATTTTTAGATCCTATAGGCATGTCATCTAAATCTATAGATTAAGCCGCATGTAAACAGAGTCCTATGCGCACATTGAGACATTCATCATTCAATATTCTATAGGCATGGTTTCTAGCAAGCAGAAGTAGTACACATTTGAACCAAATGAAGAACCTATAGGCAAGATTGCTAACACATAATAATAGAACATGTTTGAGAGTAATAGGATACCTATAGGCAAGATTTCTATAATAACTGAAAAGTAACACATTTGAGCAAAATAGAATACCTATAGGCATGATTTCTAACACATGACAACTGAACATGTTTGAGCATAATGACACATTTTAGCTAAGTAACGAACCTATAAGCAGGATTTCTACCCGTTTTAATATAAGTGTAAGATAAAACCCCTTTCCCACTTTTACTAATACCCCAAAGTGTCATTACAAGAATTATTACAGATCCAAAATGAATAGAATAAATTACAAAGCAGAATAGTTATAGGGAGCCTACAACAGGTCCAAAGATACACCTGGCCAGGCCGGGCCTTCATTCTCATAGTTCATAACAACCCAAAATTACATCTTCATGGACATAAGGCAGCCGGGAATTGAGTGATTCACCTAGTGGGCACAAAACAGAGTTGAGCAAATAGAACCAAGGCCCTAGTGTGTTAGAGTTCCCAAGGGCTTCAAGAACTTAGGGCAGTGCTCAAACTAGGGAGTTTAATAGAGACAGTTCAGAGGAAAGATTAGGGACCAAATCCTAGTGTGTCAGAGTTCACAAGGGTCTCAAATGAACCTCGAGCAGTGCTCACACTATGAAGGTCAGTGGCAAGAGCCTTGATAGCCTTGGCTTTCAGCCGGTTAGGAATAAAGAGTTCGGAATAACATAAGTGATAATGAGGGAGAGTGGACAATAGCTGAGGGACAGAACTTAAGGGTACAAAAATAGTCAAGTTGGGCACATAAAGCAAATAATCAAACATGCTTTAGGTTTTAAGAACACATTTAGCAAAATTTAGAAGAACAAGTTCAACACCTAGTGCATAAGTAGTTACACATTAACAAACAAGTTTGCAGGATTGGAGTACACAGACTCATAACAGGGAAAAGGTCCAAATTATGATAAGTACAGATGCTAGTGTCACAAGATAGCCATGTTAACTTCACATCAGGTAGCAGAATAACATTTAGACATAGTAGGGAAGCAGAAATTATGACAACATACTGGTGGATCAAGTGAGCCAAAACATGCTAAGGGATATATTAACTGAGAACTAGTCATGATTGATAGAACAGGATCTTGACACAGAATTAAAACATACTACCTATGCAAGATTGCCATTATAGAGATTCAGAACAGAAAGGGAAGATAAACTCATGTCATACAGTAAGTGTAAGCATTCAAATCTGACCTAATAGACCAGTTAATCTAAAGGAAGTTCAAATTATGCATATAGAGCATATTCGAATAACAGAATGGACAACCTTAAGCAGGATTAAACACCAAAGAGATGTCAAGTAGTAACATATTGGCTAAACAAAATTAAGAGAATCTTGATTACTCGAATTAGGCTTAGGCATGTTTCAGATTACCAACATAATGAAGTGAAGATTAGAGACCAAAAATTAAAGTAAAGCAATCAGGATTGCATACAAGAATAGCCCAGAAAACACATTAAACTACAATCTTCAGAATTGAAAACATATGCAAATGACAGGTAAATAGGAATGAAGTGACAAAAGTTCAGCAACTCACCAGTTAAGAGAAAACCAAGAAAGAACAAAGTCCACAATAGCAAGAACCTAGAATTTCTGGCCTTGGCTTTCAGCCGGCCAGGAACCAGAATATAGAACAAGAGTATTTAGAGAACAAAGAGCAATAAATTCAGTCTTTTAGTAAACATTAACGATTCCAGTCCGTCTCAAAAGGGGAGTGGGGAGGGCTTTATATAGCAGTAAAAATTAAATACCTAAACAAGGAAAATCATCAATCAAACACTAGAAAGGAAAGCAATCGAAATCAGTAAGGAAAAGAGAAAAGTTCAAAACCCTAATTTTAGGTAAAGTACATAAATCGACAGAAATCTAAAATAAATAAAAGGTAAAAATCACAGGCTGTATAGAATAAGATGAACATAGATAGAAATACCTTTTAAAATCAAAGAATCGACCCAGATTTGGTTCGATTTAAAAGAATATGAAACCCTAATTTTAGGGTGAGTAGGAGTCACAGAAATACACAAAGATTCATACCATAAAAGAACAAGAACGAATATAGACGGAAAAGGTCAAGGAACTGAACCAGCTTTGGTTCGAAGTTGATGCGATCCGCTTGCCATGCTTAGGTAAGCGGTATAGAGAAAGGGTCCAGTACCAAGGGGGAGTCGAATATGGCAAGAAGTAACCGTATAATCCCATGTCCGGTGGGATTAGGAGAGAAATTTGGGGGGAGACGACTAGGGTTTGGGTAGAGAGAAGGGGGAGGTTTGAGAGCATTCAAAGGTGGTGGGTGGTGAAGAGTGGTTAGGGTTAGGGGAGTATTAGGTTAATTAAAAGGGACGAGGTAATATGGGTCGTTGATCTCGCAGATCAATGACCACGATTAGTTGGGGGTTCTGGGTCGGGTTGGTTAATTGGTTAGGTTGGAGGTTATTTGGTTTGGGCTCAGAGGTTATTGGACTGGGATTGGGTAGTTTAGGTCCGAAATTAAGGTAAATTGGGGGCCAGATTTTAAATACCCAATGTTTAAATAAATAAATAATTTATAAAAGTAATTAATAAATAAAACAAAATATCAGTTGTGTATGAAAATGATTAAAAACAATTATTTAACATTATAAAAATATTAAAAATTATTTTTTGCATAAATAATATAATTATACATGCATATGGTTATTGCAAAATGTGCAATTTAGCCCCGAAAAATACAAATGTAATTATAAGAAATGCCCTGAAAATATTTAAAATCTCATATTGGTATAAATGATAAGTTTAGATGATTAAATCTTCATAAAAATAATTTGGATGGTAATTATTAGATATTTATATAATAAAAATATAAAAATAAATTGATTTAACGTCTTTAAAAATTACGAACAATTATGAANTGGAAAATATGAGAAAAAATTGGGTATCAACAACTTAATGATTTGGCTAAAAGAAGGATAGTAAAGAGTTTAGTTAAACTCTGGAACACAGATATTATCTGTTTTCAGGAGACTAAACTTGAGAAGGAAATACACTAGCTCGTTAAGCAGATTTGGGGAGGGTGATGGGTGATGATTGCTTGTCTGGAGTCTAGTGGTTCTAGAGGGGGCATTATGATGTTAAGGGATTGTAGAATCTGGAAAGCGGAAGTCGTTCAAATTGGAGCCTATACACTCGCATGCAAATTTGAGGCACTATTGCAGAACTTTGAATGTCACATAACAGGGGTGTATACCCCAAACTGTAATATTGAGAGGAGGAAAGATTGGTGGGAGATAGGAGCTGTGAGGGGTTTGGTGGAGGGCCCATGGGTTGTTTGTAGTAATTTTAACATTACCAGATTTCCTTCCGAGAAAAGGAACTGCCTTAGGAGATCCAGAGCTATGATGAAATTTTCAGATTTTATAGATGATATGAATCTGATCGATCTTCCACTAGAAGGAGGTGTCTATACCTGGTTCAAAGGGCATAATCAAATAATCTCCTCAAGAGTTGATAGAATCCTGATCTCTGAAGAATGGGATGACACTTTCAGGAACATCAAGCAATCCCTCCTCCAACGACTAATCTCTGACCATGTTCCCGTGTCTTTACAATGTGGTTCTTGGGAGCACACCAAGTCATACTTCAAGTGTGATAACTGGTGGCTGAACACATAAGGCTTCATAGATAGAATCAAAGAATGGTGGACATCTTTTGAATTTTCAGGGAGGCCAGATTTCATGTTAGTTTGTAAAATGAAAGCACTCAAAGGCAAGCTGAAGGAATGGAGTAGAAGTAGCCAGGAAAATTTGGGATTGCAAAGACCAACATGCTAAATAAATTAGCAATGTCGGACTCTACTATGGAATATAGAGCCCTAATAGAATAGGAATCAGTGAAGAAGGCCTCTCTTCTCATGGAATATGAGGAACACCTGAAAAATGAAGAAATTGCATTGAGGCAGAGATCCAGAGCTCTTTGGCTTAAGGAGGGGGACATGAATACAAGTTTCTTCCATAAAACTGCTAATGCACATAAGAGAAGCAATAACATTGATCAGTTAGTTATCCAGGAAGAAACAATTGTAGAGCCACAAAGAATCAAGGTTGAGATCATTGTCTTTTACAAAGAGTTATATACAGAGAATGAAGAATGGAGACCTGTGTACAACTATGATATATGTCCTAAAATATCTGAAGAAGAAAAGAAGTTCTTGCAAAGAAGCTTTGATGAACAAGAGGTGTTGGGGTGTTTGAAGATGTGTGCAGTGGACAAGGCTCCTGGACCTGATGGTTACACAATGGTTTTTTTTTATCAAGTGTTGGACTGTATTGAAGCAGGACATTATGGAGGTTTTCCACAATTTTCATCTTTGAATATTTTTTTAATGCATCATATATAGTCCTAATCCCCAAGAAGGTAGGTGCAAAGGAACTGGGTGATTCCAGGCCTATAAGCTTGATAGGCAGTGTATATAAGCTAATTTCAAAAGTTTTGATAGAAAGGCTTAAAGAAATTGGTGGATTCATAACAGATGGATTTCATCAAATGAAGGCAAATAACGGATGATGTTCTGATTGCCAATGAAGCTGTGGATTCAAGAACTAAATAGAAGAAGCCGGGAATTCTTTGTAAACTAGACATCGAAAAAGCATATGATCATGTAAACTGGAATTTCTTGTTAAATATGCTATACCAAATTGGTTTTGGGGTAAAATAGATCAACTGGGTAAAATATTGTATCTCCATTGTCAGATTTTTAATCATCATAAATGGATCTCCTGAGGGTTTTTCCCCTACCCATAGAGGTTTAAGGCAGGGTGATCCTTTATCTCCCTTTCTCTTCATAATAGTCATGGAATGTCTGAATAACATGGTTAAAAAAACAAAAAGCAATGGGTGGATCAAAGGTTTTGAGGTAGCTAGAAGTAAAAACAATAGTCTGGAAATCACACATCTTCAATATGCTGATGACACATTAATTTTCTGCGACGCAGAAAAGGAGCAGCTGAGGTTTCTAAGAGTTATTCTAGTACTGTTTGAAGGGATTTCAGGACTTCATGTTAATTGGAAAAAGAGTCATCTTTACCCAATAAATGAAGTACCTGATATGGAACAATTGGCACTAATCTTGGGAGGTGAAGTAGAAACTCTACCTACTGTCTATCTTGGTATGCCTTTGGGTGCCAAATCTAAATCCAAAGAGATATGGAACAATGTTATTAAAAAGGGTGAGAAGAAGCTGTCCAGATGAAAATCTCAGTACCTATCAATGGGAGGAAGACTCGCCTTCATCAACTCTGTTTTAGATGCACTCCCAACATATATTATGTCACTCTTCCATATTCCCGCAGGAGTTATAGCAAAGAAAAAAAGGGTTTTCACTTAGTAAAGTGGAAATCTCTTATAGTTGGCAAAGCTCATGATGGACTAGGCATCAGGAATTTGAAGGATCATAGCAAGGCTCTCAAGACGAAATAGCTATGGAGGTATTCTCAAGAACCCCAAACCTTATGGGGTAATGTGATCAAAGCCAAATATGGTGAGGAAGACAAGTGGATAACAAAAGAAGTAAATACAACATATGGAGTTAGCTTATGGAGATCCATCAGGTCACTCTGGTCTATTCTAAAGAACCACTCATCCATCAAAGTGCAAGATGGCAATAAAACTTCCTTCTGGAAAGATAACTGGTTGGGAGATGGATACTTAAAGGACCTCTACCCTGATATGTATGTTATGGCACAACATCAACACAACACAGTAGCTGAAATGTAGTCCCCACAAGGATGGACACTTATTTTTAGAAGAAGTTTGAATGATTGGGATGTGGCCAGAATGACTGACTTCTACAAACATCTGGAAAGATTCATAAGTTTACAGAGTGGGGTGGACACAATAAGGTGCCAGGGAAATAACAGTGGCATTTATAAGGAGAATACAACATACAAGATCCTGAATCAAGCTAACCAGCAGATTAATAACTGGCCTTGGAAGCATATATGTAAAATCAAGATTCCCTATAAGGTAGCATGTTTTTCTTGGTTACTAGCAAAGGAGGTTGTTCTGACACAAGATAATCTTATAAAGAGAGGGATTCAATTGTGCTCAAGATGCCACTTATGTTGAGAAGATATTGAGATAGTTAGCCATCTATTTTTATATTGCAAGATAACTGACCAGTTATGGAAGATCTTTATTAATCTCAGGGGCATAGCTTGGACAATGCATAGTAAGATTACTGAAGTTCTTTTCAGTTGGGATGAAGCTGGAACTGGAGCAAGAGACAGAAATAGATGGAGAACTATCCCAGCATGTATTTGGTGGACAATCTGGAAAGAAAGGAATTTCAAATGTTTTGAGGATAGAAGAAATTTTGTGCAGAAGATCAAGCTTAATTGTGTTTTGCTTTTTTGCTTTTGGTGTAAACAGATCTACGCAGAAGATACTGTTTCAATCCTAGATGTCCTAGAATCTTGTTAGGCCCGAGGTCCAAGTTTTTTTCTTTTGGCTACGCACTTGTAAATATGGTTTCAGTACAATCTATGTACTGATTTTATTATAATATACAATATGTTACCATCTTAAAAATAAATAATGAGTTGTATCACTTTCTTATCAAGTGTTGTTAAAATGGGTCAATTATCTCTTTATTCTTCCATATTCATATGTCAAGATTTCTTATATCTTTCGAATTTGAAATGATATTTCGATAATTTAAAATTAAATAGAACATATCACTATTTAGGTATCATATTGATTTTTATGTTTAATTATTAAATTCGATTAATTTTGAAAGCGTACATCACCGAAAAATTATTGTTAGACGATCAAGAAAATAACAATCATGTGTTACTAAAAAAAATTCTCCATAAGAATATTTTAATATGTCATATATTTGTCAATTTTTTTAATTTTTATAAACCCGAAAAATCCGACAAAACCGAACCAATCCAAACCGATATAGTTGGTTTTGATAAAATCCGAACCAACCCGGTTCATGTACACCCCTAATAGCAGGAATATGCAGAAGATACTATTCTTCAAGGAGATAGTTTCCGGAGCATTCATTATTCAAAAGTAGGGTTTTATGTCAATCGATTCCTGTTGACTGGTGAATCAGATCCACTGGTCTGGTTTTCCTTGATTGGTTATTGAACATGGCACTTTGTGGCACCCAGTTCACTTTTATCTCTTTGTGTTCAATTGAACAAACTGAATCTATGAACATCTTTGATTTTGACACTAGTGTGGATAATGATTCTACCTATGCCTGTTGAGATAAGTGAGAGACACAAAAAGGGACGCGTAACATGAAAATTTTGAACATCCAAATGATATTAAAAAGCTGTCCTCAATTATGCAAAAGATTGTACTATTAGTAAATAATATGATTCATGCATAAACATAAGATCAGCATCCTTTCTCCATGGAAAATGCAAAGTTGCTTTGCCTACTAGAGATAACTGACTTAAAATGCCAGCAATCAGTGCATCTTAACCATTATATTCCAGCACTCTTACGCCATGACCAAGAATCAGATGGTGATTTTGGCAAAGGTGGAAGCAACAAGGCTTTTTGGTATAGGCCAAATGGCCATCCTTCACAGTGAGAGAATTCCTGAATAACAGAATGCCTCCAGAGATCTTGGAAGTCAATCCTGTCTACGCTTGAAGAACGAGAAAAGATTGTTTTAGCTGTGACAAATGCCTCAAAACTTGTAGAACTTGAGCAGGGAGAAAGACGACTAGCAACAGAGTAAAAATCTTCCCTTTCTTCCTTTTCTTGATCTTCATTGTCCTCCTCCTTTTGTCTTAATCTTGCAGATATGAATAAATCTCCTGTTGTTGGAGAGAAAGCCCAGGTAAACTTATCAGTTGAGTTGTTTGTCTTTCTTCTGCATTTCAACTCCATGTATTTACTTATCACTGCTGATATAAATACCTGCTTATAAAACCGCAAAACAGCATTCAGAAAATATGAGTAAATCAGAAGTTAATAGCATTGAACTTAGAAGAATTACATGGCTGCTTTAAATAAGTACTTCATCTTCATTATCATAGTCGCAAATCGGATCATCCTCTTCTGGAGTTGAATGTGAACTTTTCCGAAAGGAATGACAGTTGGAAAATGCATCCTTGAGGGTTGAGGCAAGGAATTTGAATCTCTTGGAAGTATTTGGATAGTCTTGATTAAAAGAGAATCCCATGCTTTTAGAAGAGCTGCTGAAATTTCTTGATGAGAGTTGTAGCTGAAAAGTTACCCCAAACAGAAGTAAATTCTTTGTTAGTCCTCTAACTCATCTCTCTTCTGATTTCTCATTTGAAATTCGTTTATTGAAAGGGACCTTCCATCTTCTCTGAAAATATGAGGTTTTAATCTTTAAGGTGAAGACTTCAGCAGAGGAACCTGCAAGGTATTTCTGAAGCGAAAGCAATGGACATTGAATTTCTTATTGCATACAACTATACAAGTAACTTGGTGTTTCCTTGTCATGGGCAAGATGCTAAATTTGTGGTGAATTGCTTTCACTTCAGCCTGAAGTTAAGGGTGAAAAAGGACATGGTGCCAAACAATGACCACTTGCAGATACTTTCGTATTTCTTGACTGGAATAAGGTGCAAGAGAATTTTCGTTTATCATTGAACCAGATATGTCTACACAAAAGGGTTTATGCAACTTTGCAAAAATGTTGGTCTGGTTAAAAGACTATTTGACATGGATATTAGAGTCAATATGTCCTTTTGAAAAATTGCCGAATAGTTCAAGCTAAATCTTGAAGAAAGCTAAAAAGCGTCGTTTGATGAGCCGGTCCTAGTAGTCGTTGGTCAGGTAAAGGGACCAAGCCAATGGTGTTCAACTGGTTTCTTCGGATGTTCAGCCATGTTGGGACTGAGACACGACTCGACTCCATGGGGGCAGTAGTTGGAAATCTTGGGCAACATCAAAAGTTTCATTAGTTATTTTAGAATACAATTACTAGACACAACAATTGGGACCAGGAATTTTTGCAACTGGGAACTGTATGTTCTATGTTTTTCCGTTTGTAGCATTTCCTGTAAAAACTTAGCCCAGTTCCTACAACATATTACTTCAACAAATATGAAGAATAACGGATGCCCAAAGTTCCTGCTATGCACGGGATCCGGGGAAGGACTGGACCATATTATATCTTATGTGTACAGGTTTACCTTGCATTTGTGAAAGAGACTATTTTTGTGGCTTGAACAAATGACACAAGAAGTGAAGGAAGTGAATCAAATGCTTAAACTACCCACCTTTGCAAGGATAATGAGGAACATAAAGTAAACAGTGTTATTTTCTTAATTGACACTACTTTAAACTAAAACATTTTAATGTGAGAAGAGGGAAGACCGAGTCCTATTTCTTTAAAATCATGTGTCTTTAATTATGCGACTCATCCTTCTTAGAGACCCTTAATAAGTCAACTGTTTTAAGGACTCACATGCCATTAACTAAAGTAAGACGCATTAATCAGCTGACCTTCTTAGATACCTTAACTCAATTGCTCTAAGTACTAAAATGAATTGGATATAAATAACAGAATAGTGGCTCTGTCATGTAGCTTACCAACCATTTCAGAAGTAACCAAAAAAAAAAGCACAAGAAATTTTAGACTTCCCATTTTACCCTTTGTCATTTCAAATTTGCAAAAACATTGTAGAGAATAATGTTTTCCAACTAGTCACAATTACAAGTGAACATCTCTGTGAAGCCTAGTATCGCCATTAATCAGTAGGCGGACTTTAAGTGAGCAAGATCCACAAGGAAGCACAATAGATGCTGGCAAAGATTTAGATGTCAGCAAAGAGACTGTAAACCCATCTCTGGATATTGAACAACCCGTGTCAGCCAATTCAAAAGAATCAATAGAGTAGTAGTCACCACATCTACAAGGATAAGAAAGCTCTATAATATCACCAGAATCTTGAACTGTAAGGTCCTCTAAGCTAACATCTTCAGCAATTGCTACATCCTGTCTCAAAGCTAGCAATTCACCGTCATAAAGTGCACGTGACCTCGGGTTGCCAAGGGTTTCCCAAGCTCTCTGTATCTCCAAAAATTTGTTTTCTGTCAGACACTCAGAATTGGATGTTTCTGATGCCTTTTGCTGCTTGTCTGGATGAAAACAAAGTATGGCTGACCGATAGGCTTTACGGATTTCTTCAAAATCTGTATCGTCCTTCACACCTAGAATCTCATAGTGAGTCTTATGAATGAAGTTGCTGCTCGAAATCATGGCACCCTGTATCAAAAAATCTTTACAGCAAATCCACCCCCCTAAAAAAAAAGGAAAAAGAAAAGTAGGAGGGGAATTTTTGGTGAAGACCAACAATCTACTTTTTACAAGTATCAGTAAGATTGCATGCACAGAATTAGATCGCATACAAAGAATTTTGAACTTTATTCTAATAACCGCAAAATCTATTTTTTCCCAACTTCGAAACTGTGATGGATAATGTGTCCGCACTCTACCCTTCTCCACTTAAAAATCAAACTTGCTTCACTAGCTAAGATTCAAATTAATAATGCACACCTACCACATATCGCACACCGTATTACCTTTGTCATTGAACCAAAAAGCACTGGGGCAAGTTCAAAAACTATAAAAGACGACCTTTGGGATTTTTCCCAATTGAGCTGCAGGACTTAAACTCACATCCTTCAGTATGCCTCTCACTCAATTCACTCCCTACCCATGGAGAAGAAATAAAAAAGACGACCAGCAGGGAAGAACGTCAGTAGGATGCTTGACTGCTGACCATCAAACAGCCACACAAATTACTAGACTGTCTAGCTTGCTGTTACAATGTAAGTCCTAGGTCCTTATTGTTTCTATATAGAAGCCGCTGATAGAGAACAGCCCAGTTCATTCATCAGAAAGAGAGAATTTTAGCAGTGAACCAACGTGCAAACATCTAAAACAATTTAGCACCACAGAAGCATGAATAAACACTTAGCAGCCAGCAAAAGCATGATTACTGTAATGTGGTTTCCAATTATCTGAGGTTACAATAGAAATGAAATTAGACAGATAATTTGAGTGAGCAAGGCCTGGTATCCTAGCCTATAGCCAGAGACGGAGCCAGGATTTTAAGTGTATGGGTTCTGAATTTTTTAGCAAAATAATTTATTGAGTACCTCCACTTAATAGCTAAACTACTGTTCATGAGAATAAAGTTATCGGTATGAGTTTGATATACCTTATATACGAACGTATATTATATTCTCCCTCACAAATGGTTCAGGATCATGAACCAACTAATTTCATCTTATTATTATTGATGTGCGGTGTATATTTTGATTAACACCATAATGTACAAAATTGATGAAGCAAGTTAGTTTTTCTAACATGAGGGGGGCAGGATAAACAGTTGAGAAAAAGTTACGTAATGAATTATCATTTGTACATCTAGATCCTCGAATAAGATAATATGAATTTGAAGTTCATAAAAACATAATTCATCTGCAATATGTTGCAAAGCATGCCAGACGCATTTGCTGACCCAAAGAAAGTAACTATATTCCCACTACAAATGCTCCAATTAGAATAAGTCCTAGAAGGACAAAGTCTATGGTATGCTTAAAGCGTATAGACAAATCGGTTTCAAATAAAATTCTTGATAAAGAAGATGAGCAAATGATCAAAATGATCATAATAAGGAGGCAAGTGATTTAGAAGATCACATGATATAACATTTCATAAAATTTCAGAAAAGGTCCAGGTACCTGAAAATATGAATGAAGAGATCTCTATGTTATGTCTTTATGAAAAAATGAGGTTGGAATCGATATAAAATGTTCATCAACTACATTTATTATAACACTGAATATATATGAGAATCTTAAGTCTGGAGAAATAATTCAAGTAGAACTGGTTTCATATGAAAGACATGTAGTTTTTGACATGCAGATCAAACACCTGAAAGTATACAGTCAATGGTGTGTGCAATCACTTTTATCTATCTTATATGTCTAGCATGGCATGAAAATTTGATATGCATCTAAAGTCTATTTATATGGCTTATATGACTTAACTTATATGACAATCCCTGAAGGATTTAAATTGCTTAAAGCATATAGAATTCTTGGTCATGAAGTACTACATCCTAAGTGCAATTTGTGCACATTTGTATCTTGCTATAACTATAAGCATGATAATGTGATAGCGAGGATTTTCAAGGTGAACATATTCATTGGAGTTAATATGGTTGATTTATTCATCAAATCTCTACCGTCGCCAACCTTCAAGAAGCCAGTGCACAAGATTGGAAGCGAAGGCTCAAGGATGTGAATTGATGCTCTCATCAGGGGGAGTTAATACGCGTTGTGCTCTTTTTTCCTAACAAGATTTTGTCCCACCGGGTTTTCCTTGCAAGGATTTTAACGAGACAACTAAAAGGCATATTGTTAGATATGTGTACTCTTTTTCCTTCACTAGAATTTTTTCTCACTGGGTTTTATTTTAGTTAAGGTTTTAATGAGCACATTATCTGTTGAATAGACATTAAATGGGGAGTGTTATAAATAGAATTATATTTAAGGTGAATGTTTATATTTTAGAGAGATTTTAGGGTTTGTTACTTTGTGGCTAAATCATTTTTCCCCTATAAATAAAGGAGTTCTATTCCATTGTAATTGATCCAATATCAATAAGAATTCTCTCTCTCTACTTTTCTTAGCAATACTCTTCTTCGTCTTTTATTGTTTTGTAACAACTGTATGGGAAAAACGTGACATTCTCTTTCTTTTTTTGTAGATTTTCTTCTCTTTTTTTTTTGCAAGTAAAATTAATATTCCAAAAGTGTGTCGATTTTTTATAGTTTTCAATTTTATTAAATGAACCTACTAAAAAGTGAAATAAAGGCTAAAATATCAAGATTAAATTTAACGAATATTAAATACTAAAAAGGTGATAAAGTTTTTAGGTATGGTCAAAAATCAGGTGCTCGCATCAGGTAAATTGGAAATATTACTACTCCATATTTATTGCTACTTTAAAAATGTCATTTTTTCCGCATCAACTTTATTCATGTTACAGTTCACAAACTCAGCAGACAAATGAAACCCATTGGACAAACACAAAAAGAGAAAGGAGACCAACCCAACAGCTAAAATTATCATCTGAATAACAATACAATTCAATACATCTTTAAATTTTCATAAAGTAATCACCTTTACTGCAAAAAAGAACGAAAAAAACGCACCAAAAACCGGACTATGAAAATTTACCTAAAATGGGTATTCAGATTTCACGGCCGGATTCAGTGACGGAGACGGTGGTCCTTATTGCAGCGGCAGAAAATATCAGGTGAGACGGTAGAGAAATTGGGGTGCTGAAGAGTGGAGACAGAGTTAGGTCTTTTTTTTTTCTTTTGCACCACAGAGTTACGGGTGTTTTCCTATAATTAATAGCGAAAACCGGAAAAGGGTATATTTAAGCAAAACAACAACTCACCCTGTCGAAAATAAAAATCTATTTTGAAAACAGATTTGGTTTCTATTTTTGGAAAACAAAACTATTTGGTTTCATAAAAATCGATTCAGTTGGTTTGTTTATTTCTCTCAGAATTATTTTCGGACCAAACAAATTATTTGTTCCAAAACAAAAGTTAACAATAATAGCTTCTTCTTTTTTTATCTCTTGTTAAATAAATTTACATAGTGAAAAACTACATAAAATTATTACAAATTACAAACTTTTATAGTTAAAAATATTTATGGTTAAGAGAATATAGTCAAAGAAAATAAAGTGTTTGGTACTAGAATAGCAATAGTGTCATTCTTTTTTAAATAAGATTATAATTTTTTTTCTCTTACTATTAAAAAGTTTTTAATATTAGAATGGGACGAAGGGAAAGGGACGGTAAGGAATGAAATGACACTTGTAGGCATTTTTATATGAACTAGTGTCTCATTACGCACGGTTGCAGGTATCTCTTATGTAAGTGGATTAAACTTTATAAAAGATAAATATATATTAAAATAACGTATATATTATTTCCAAAGTAGTATTTAAACTATATATTAAAAGTTAAATATTGTTATGACCCGATTTCTAATCAAGTCGTAACCGACACTCGACGCCTCAACTTGACCGAACGAACCATCTTGGCTTTTATATTCTGTTCTATTTTTGTTGTGCAATGCATCTCAACACAATTCAATATAATTCAAAGCAAATTCTTTTCTGAATCTTTAAATAAAATAATATTCTGAAAAAAAATTCATTCTGTTATCTTAAATACATTGAAAAATAAATATAATGCAAAGTGGTCACTCATGACTCTATTCTGACTGTGTCTATGAAGCCTCTAAGAAATACAGAGTAATAAGACAAAATTCTGGAATCAATGAACTGCATGAACCAAAATGGAGCTCACGAAGTCTACTGATAATGGGAGGAGAATATCCCAGCTCGTAGCCTGCTTACCTGCAAAATATGTCCCTACATTGACATAGGTCAATGTAGGTTCTCATGAAGAGAACGTCAGTACACCACAGCAGTACTCAGTAAGTAAAGCAATCTTCCCACTAAAGCTGGAACGAGACTTTAAAAGGAGTATATATGCATGATAAAAGAAAATTCTAAAAGCTTTTGATGAAGAGTTGAAACAAACAACTCATATATCTATTATAAAGTTCTTCTTGATGTCATTCACCACAAACCTCACCTCTTTCGTATGAAATTAGAGTTGAATTTAAAGGCTCACATGAAAAT